GACAAATAAAGTTACGGTAAATTACATTTACTTCCTCTGAGATTTTTAATAATTATAGGACATCTCCTGAAGTTTTGAAAATTATACTAACCTTCCTTACTTTATCTAACAATAGACAAATACCTCCCTTATATTAATTTTTCCTAAACACCATTAACTTTTGCAATGGAATGCCAAAAACACCCTTCATTTGCTCTTTTCTTATTTCTTTTCCTTCACCAACTATTACATATTTTCCCTCCCACTTTGTACCGCTCATTGCCTATGGCTCAATTTCTAAAGTAAAATTAGGCCTCGTTTGTGAACCCTCCTTTTTAGCAAAAAAGTCAAAAAGTTATTAAATTAGCCAAAAAGCCAACAACACATACCAAAAAGTCAAAGATTCATTTTTCTCTCTACTTTTTGCACATCTTTTCGTAAAAAACAAAAAAGTCATCACAAACATATTAGTTTTTTTTAGCTCATATTTTAGCCAAATAGCCAAAAAGTTACTAAATTAGTCTGTTCTCAAACGAGGCCTTATTGTGTGCTAAAAAATTGATAATACAGTTATGTATTTTTATGATAATATTACTTAATGATTTGAAATATGATATAATCTATTATGATTGAGTAACATTTTGACAAAAATAATAATAATATTACCATAAAACTACATAACTATGGCCCTGTTTGGCAGGTGAGTTTTTGGCCCTTTTTTTGGTTAAAATTCACAAAAAGACAAAATAGGTTAAAATAGTCAATAAGATAAAATATCACATCAAACCCATAATCATTTTACTTTTTCTCCCACAAACATTACATCCAACTACAAAAAAAAAAAATAATAATAATCCAACCATCTTCTCAAACACAAAAATTTTAGTCTACTAAAATAGGTAAAAATTAAAATAGCCTACTAAAATAGCCAAGTTCCCAAATGAGGCCTATATATCACCCTTGTTATAACAAACAATATATAATAATAAATTATCATCACACTTTCAAGAAATTAGATAATATTTTCCTCAAAAATTTGTAATATTTATAATAAAAAAAATACATAATAAAATAGTGTGGCGGTGGTAATTGTATTGTTATACCAAAAATGGTGTGGTAGTGGTGGTAATTGTATCAAACAATTTATGTCTCCAAACCAACTGATGCCAAAATTGAAAAATTAACATGATTTAAGTTTATGATAAGTTGAATGGTGATTTTGAAACCAAACTCATATGGTTTTATTGTTCTTGATAATGCATGAATGCTTGATTGAATAGAGAAATAAAAATTATGGAATGATGTGTCTCAATTAGATGAATGAGAAATTAAAAAAGAAAAAGAAAAAAAGAATTGAATTGATTAAAATTTTATGGTGGGTCTAGTGATTTTGGATGAGAGAAATTGTATGCTCATCTTTTGTAGACTGCTAGAATTTTGCTATCCCCAAAAATAATAATTATAACACGAAGACGATAAAAAATACAAAAAATGTGTAAATTATATGTATTTTATTGGAGAGATTTTATAATACGCACACTATTTTGGAGTGTGTACTATATGCCCAAGTTATGACATTTGTAAATTTTGATTATGACCTATTTTGGTGTTAGTGATGATTTGGTTATGACTCATTGTAGTGTTAGTTATCTTTTGTGATTATTATTTTGATTATTAATGAAAAGGTTTTTAGTTATACCTTTTGTTGTATTTAGTTATGACTAATTATTATTTTTGATTATGACATTTATGATAATTAACACATATGTATTGTTTTGATAAACATTGCAAATTTTTGTAGCAAATGTTAATTACTTTTTTGATAATGTGATGATAATTTATTATTAGATATTATTTATTATAATAATTGTGATACAATTATGTATGTTTATGGTAGCATTATTTATTTCTTTTTATCAAAATGTTACTCAATCATAATTGATTATAGGGTAAATTACACTTTAACTCCCTTGTGATTTGCCTAAAAAACACGGAACTCTCATATAGTTTCATTTGTAACACTTAAACCCCCTAAACTTAATACCACACTGTAATTTTTGACAGATCCGTTTATTTAAATAGAGCGTGAGATTCACGAGCATAAAAGTGTAAGCAGCACTTTTTCATGCAATAAACGTTACACTCTTAGACCAAAACACCCCTTCTCTCTCCCTGCATTATATAAATATGCAACAAGCACATTAAAGCATCTGAAATTGTCCATATTATCTCAAGATTTTTCTTCCTCACCACAGCAAAACCAGCCTGAAATTCAACACCACCATTCACCCTCCATCTCCTTCTCATTTCCCTTTCCTTATCACTCACTTCATCCAACAAACCAAGGCGATACACCCACTGCCACACCATTCCCATTCAACACCACTACAACTAATATATTTACATACATCTTCAAAAACAAATCTCTAAATAAATTTGTCAAATAGATCGAACCCAGTTAGAATTAAAGGAAATTATTTTTTTAAATTGTAAAAGTTGCAAATTATAATGCAAAGAATGGTTGGAACTTGAAATAGTTTTCACCTCACAACTTCATATTTTGTTCACATCAAATTGACTGCTCACATTATATAGATAATATATAGTGTTTGTATATATGCCCACAAAATTATTTACAGAGAGTTCGAGGCAAACAAAAAATTTCGACGACAAAATCTTGACGGACGTAACAATTTTTGTAAAAAGGCTTGAATATCCTTACTTTTTTCTCTAATTTTCTTTTGTATGCCATCTTTCTCATGGAAGGGGGGAAGGATCGGGTAGAATGAGAAAGATGGCATACAAAAGGAAATTAGAGAAGAAAGTAAGGGTATTCAAGATTTTTTACAAAAATTGTTATGTCCGTCCAAAATTGCACATTGATATGAAGTTTAGAGGTTTAAGTGTTACAAATGAAACTATAAGGGAGCTCCGTGTTTTTTGGGTAAACCACAGGTGGTTAAAGTATAATTTACCCTAGATTATATCATATTATAAATTATTGAGTAACATTTTGATAAAAAAAAAAAACCGCAACACTGCTATAAAAATACATTTAAAAAATTTAATTAACTTCACTTTAGAAATTGAGCTTTAATTAGGGGAGCAGTAGCCAGGGTAGCCGCAAATTGGAAAGGGGAATAGTTAAAAGTTAGTAAAGGAAAAGATATAAGAGAAAGAACAAATAAAGTGTATTTTTGGCATTTCATTGCAAAACCTAACGATGTTTAGAGAAAAGTTAATAGAAGGGAGGTATTTGTATATTGTCAAAAAAGTAAGAAAAGTCAATGTAATTTTCAAAATCTCAAGTAAGGTTTTTATATTTGTCAAAAACCTGATAAGTGTAAGTTATCCATAAAGTTATTTTCATTGGTGTAAGTCATGTTTTAATTCAATGACTCGTTATATAATTATAATTGAAATAACTATTTCTAAAAGAAAAAGATAAAAAATAAAAAAATTATAATATCACTTGCTATAACTTATTAACACTTTTGATCCCTAATATTTAAAACTATTGTAATGTATTCTATTATCAAGCTGATAGGGTGTCAATGGAAAAATGTCAAGTTTATTTTTTGACAACTCGGGTGTCTGGGCCAATTTGCGAGCACCTCTTTTCATTGGTGTAAGTCATGTTTTAATCCAGTGATTCGTTATATAATTATAATTGAAATAACTATTTCCAAAAGCAAAAAATAAAAAGTTATAATATCACTTGCTATAACTTATTAACACTTTTGATCCCTAATATTTAAAACTATTATAATGTATTCTATTATCAAGCTGATAGGGTGTCAATGGAAAAATGTCAAGTTTATTTTTTGACAACTCAGGCTGTCTGGGCCAATTTGCGAGCATCTCGACTAATCTCTGGGGATCAATCGCACCGTCCATTAGTGGGGGACCCAAATAAAATTAGAGCAATACATGACATGATAATTAAGATCTTGTGACTCAAACATAGCCAAACATAACAAGGTATATATTTTCTACAATTAACCCAACTACCAACTACCAACCACCAGTCATTTCCTCTATCACACCTGCCACCACTAACCACCATAAATCCCCACCTTCCAACATATAATTGACAATTGTATGGATTAGTAACAATACCAAATCAATAATTAACCCCAATACCCAGCCTTGGAATACCAACATGAAACTGCCTTAGACTAGGTAGTTTGGTGGCACCTTTGTCGGCCCCTGGTTTTGGCCTCTCATTCAGGAAGCAGTAAGGACGGAGAAGTTATTGGTTTGGTCTTGGGGCAAAGTCATGTGGTGCCCCAACGATGTTGTAATTGGTGGGGAGGTGGGACCTACAAATTTGTTTTGGATGATTAAAAGATATGAGGAGACATGATGAATTGTGATTGGTGAGGGGTATTGCCACGTGACGTCCCTGGACCAACCAATAATTTTTCGTAAGAATGGGGTTTCGAGCAGGCCAAGGACGAAGAGGAGGTGGTGGGTAAAGATGGAGTTTCCAACCGATAGTGGGTAGAGGGAAGAGGAGGCAATAGCAAGGGTTAGCAAATGAGGTGCTTGATGATGCGGGGAAGAGGAGATGGTAGCTGGTAAGAGGTGGGGGAAGAGGTGGTGGAGAAGAAGGGGAAAATGAGGTAGCAGGTTGGGGAAGATATCCCATTCTACTCTTAAGAATAGAATCCAGAATCACCTATTTGTAGAGATGTCACAGTGGCCATCGGGGCTAGAGCCAATTCGTTTATATATGTCCAAACAGACGTCGTCCTGCAAATATTATTTGCCTCAGCAACCAGACTACAAATTAAAGTGTAGACTAGTGCAATTCTACAATCCCATGTAACCAAGTAAGAATACAAACAAGTTTGTCACCGGAAACTAACTCTGATCTACTCATCCAAAAGTGGAGGCACCAAATTCCTCTCTCTTTTGTGGGATGTTGCATATATGATGATTCATCCATTTCGCATAAAATAAGTATCAACAGACAAGAAGACTTCAATATATGAACAAAACTGTAATGAACCCAGGAGGAATAAAAGATCTACATAAATAATTACCAAATGAAATAAATGCAACCAACAAGAGACTCTGCAATTTGATTGTTAAGTTTTTCCGAGTTCTTTGAAAGAAGAACATACATCAGCATCATCCTAGTCATAACCAACAGAAAATTTGAACTAGATATTTAAAAAGGGAAGGAAAAAAAAAATCCCGCTTCAAAAAGATGACTTCAAGAACTTGACACATGCATAGAATATCATTTTACGTACTGAGATGTAATATATGGTAGAAGGCCAGCAGAAAAAACAGAATGCTGGGCATCTAGTTTCCAACAGTATTCTTGTTACCTAGTATGGATACCTTGATTGATGAAATATACAAGTGCGAAAGCAATGGTGTAGAAAAAATCACTTAACCAAGCAGCGCTCGTGACGAAATTCTGTTTGTTGCTCAAACTGTAAATATCCTCCTCACCTTCTTTATGTTCCTTCGACAGATAGGGCAAGTCCCTGTCAACTCTGCAATCCTGCAGAACCAAGTTAAAGTCAGCTTCCTGTTGAATCCGATACAGGCTCCACAGGTGCAACTTACAGAGATTATGACACGGTTGAGGCAAGTTAATTGCAATTTAGAGGGAGCCAGTTTATGCTATATTAAGTCAAACACTGTTCATGACATTCTAGCAAGTCACAATTTTATTTATGAGCAAAATCTGAGTGGAGTTTTCAAACGAAAACCAGCATTTGCTTTGAGTATGTTCGGTTAACTGGGAAGTATTTATAACTACTTGATTGTCATCATCTAATTTCACATATGGTCCTCAAGTGCCACGCTAAATTTTGAGTATGGTATGATAGAAACCTGTCTTGGTTTCATTATGTGATTTATCTTTCTTATTCAATACCAACACACAGCTTTTCCACAAGCCATCCTGTTGTACATACTCCACCATTTACATTACACATTGCAATATTATTCATCTGTAACATATGTCAATGTCAGGACGTCACAACAGCTTCATTGCCATCCCTGCTTAGTACTTTTAAACTAAATAAATATATTAAAAGTTAGTGAGAAAAGTAGATACCTTGTTCCGCATGCAAAACAAGCCACACAGTGCCCACATGGAAGGAAAAAACAGTCTCTAGGAGCATCAAAGCAAATAGCACAAAGACGCCGGATATTGTTGTTGTATTCACCATCCTTTAGTGGCATTCCCTCAAGTGAACCCAATGCCAGCTCATCTTCAAGATCTTCATCGTCTTGCGAGACAGAATCACAAGATGAACCCCAACTTGACAAATCATCATCTTTTTGCAAAAGAGGGGCTCTCTCTGATCTCATCTCTCCAAACTGAAATCTGGTTCCTTCTTCACGAGTACATTGGAAATTGTTGAACATGTAGAAGGCCGATAACACAAGGAGAGTCAATCCACCTACACACAGCAAAATTAAGAAAAGTAGGAAGAAGATGAATTTTACTTCACTTTTTTCAAGAATAACATAAACAGAAAAGTTTACCTATGCCAACAAGATATGTGAGCCATCGAGGTCCATATGACAGTTGAACTTGCCATACATTTGTACCCTGATAGAACCAACAATAGTCGCCATTAGTGTCAACTTTTCAGGAGTTGTGGCCAAAGAATTTGAAAATCATTCAAGATAGCAGTTTATAGGGAAAGGTGGGATGCTGTTGTTTTAACTCATATTTCTACTTAAAACCTATAAGCTCACAATGCCAATTTGATGATACTCCATGGTCGTTGTGACTTTATTGGTCAATAGGATCTCTGTTCAAAACCAACCGACATACCTTCCAGACATCTTTCAAGAATATACAGAATTCCTGACAGAATTTCCAGATGTGTATATCAGGTAATTCCGACATATTCAAATTTAACTCTACATTATGTCCAAAACCCAATTCTGCATCCATGCATGGGTGCAAGCCATATTCATGACAGAGGCAGGAAACGTTGCTTACTCCCATTCTGCCACAATTGTCTAGCATCATACAGGAAGACCTCAACTTCATTTACGGTACTGCCAGAGCACAGAAGGTTGCCTCCATGACAGCCTACAAATTTAAATTAAAAGGACAAATCTTCCCTAAAGGTTCAAAATGTCCACCAAAAGGAATGTTGTTGACTAAGGGAATTCAACTTATTGTCAATCTAAGTCAACAACAAACGTGATGGAAAACTAACGGCTGCTAGAGGTGACATGGCCTCTTTTGATTTATAGGGGCAGATTTTTCTTCGTTTATTTCTACGGTGCTTGAGAAACAACCATTTTCCCCAGAGCTAACCATACAATTTAAATAAAAATATTCATAATAATAAGATTCGCGTGCCTCCAGGCTTTAGGGTTGAGGTTTTTGTATAAGAGATGGTTGTTAATTACAGAGACTGAGGGAGAACTGAAATTAATGTAGTGTAATAAGTACATTATAGTTCATTTTTTTAAGGATGTTCCTTTAAAGATTACCTTAAACTGAGAGAGAAAGTCAAGAGGAAACAACAGGTTTACCTGTTCTGGACCTGGAGAGGTTAAGACAACAGCATTTCCGGAGGGGAACAACATTTTCAAATTACACGCGCCACAAGCCACAGCACAATTGTAATACGCTTCAGTTGTATTATACAGTATAGCTTTCACTTTGAGATTTAACTGCACCTGTTTGACACACAGTTCTAGGAAAATGAATAACACAAACTGGTGGAAAAGGAATAAAGCATCAGACTCACTTAAGAAGAAAACAAACTCCACATCTACTTATTCGAATGTTTCTAAAATATATTTGTAGACCAGGTGAAAACACTTTCCATTCATTCTTCCCACCTTTTGGGAGCTACGATTGTTGAACAATTAGCTTCCAATAAACTGGACAAGCATAGTCTTGTAAGAAACTATGACAATAACATGACTTTGGTCATCAAAAAGTATTGAACTTCATTAAACCAAATATCAGCGATGTTATTTTCATTTTCTGTTTTACAATGTAATTAACTATTGCAGCGAATAAAAAGAGGAAAGTTCAATGCACACAATCGTATACACATAGAATGATATATCAAGTACAGACCGTTGCCCACCTGCAACTTTTGAAAAGAATCATGGCTGATAATCGCAAAATACACTGATGAGGATTTGATTTTTCCTCTTTGTGTGTGTGAGCCACAGATTTAACATGTCAATTACATATCTCATGTGTGTTAACTAAAGAAGACTTTATGCAGTCCTTAAAAATACATTAATGGTAGTGATTTCTAGCCTAGAAAGGTGACCAGGCCATGAAGTGCTCAACAGAGGAAGGCCAAACACTTGCTTTGACTCTGGCCTTGATTCCGTCCTCTTGCAGGTAATAGTTCCAGGTAGAGGTATTGCTTCAGTGGATGCCAATTAAGTAAATCATAATGACATCGCTTTTCATCACTTCATCATTACAAGGTGATTAACTACGTATCACCTAAGAGCATGTTTGGTGTGCTTGAATGGAACATAAGGTTGAATGGAATCGAATGTCCATTCTCATTCTACTATTTGGTTGCCAAGATGGAATCATGTAAGAATGGAATGACAATTCACGATCTCATGTTTGGTTAGTAGGTATATTCTTAATTATTCATTTCAGGTGTAATATAAGTTCATAGATATAAAATTGGATTTTTCATTACTAATAACAAAACAAATTCATATCTAACTTTTCGTAAATCCCTCGTCAAGAAGGGAGACAAGCTCTATCCAAACTCCAGACAATAAGCAGGATGCACACCATATCCTCTTTTCATCCAAATGATAGGGACTTTGATTGGGTCACAGTGCATGACACCACGAATCCAAATCATCCCTTCTTTGAGCTCTTTGTCTATTGCGGCTTTCTCTTATATTCCTCATTGAGTGACTGCCCTGTCAAGGCTTAATATTCGAGGACAGACTATTACATTAGCTTGTAGCCCCAAACTAAACTCACAGTAGAGAAATAAACCAAGCCATTGGAGTAGAGTCAGTAGAAAGTCTCTTGGTCAGTCTCTATACTTTTTCTATGACATGAGGAATGCATCTCAAAGATTCACGACATAGAAGAAACATTAGGCTTATGGAACATACAATAGTGAGCAAAACTTCCTCATAACATCCAGTAAGAAAACTATAAACATATTGAAGTAACACACCCTCTATGTAATCTGCAAAAACTTCTTCTGAACTCCACAACCACTACTCCAAAGAGTCAAAACCAAGGAACAACAGTCTAAAGGATGTTTGATTTCTGAAGTTGGAAATACAAGTAGCGAGCATATAATTCAAAGCCTACATCCAATAAAGACAAGTCAATGGAATAAGATACGAGTTTATACATTTACCTCTACTTCTTCTGAGTTCAAGTTACCCACCGCAACATAGTAACTAGCAGACGTCCAAATATCCTGTTGAATTATACCACTTCCTGTAAAGAAGCAGTAACCTGGTTAGCACGCAGTGCTATACAGTTATACCTGTTTTTTTACTTTCATTCTCACCATTAATAATGTTCCATGATAAGGTGCTATTAGGATATGATGGGTCCTCGAGCCATTGAGCAAAGCCTTCACTCCCTGCAATGTTTCAGCTTTAAAATTATATTAAAATAGAAGAGAGACAACAAACAATTTTATCTGACAAATAAAGAAGGGGGAAAAAAAGGTAAAAACATGCTGCTAGTGCAAGCACAGCATATGTATATTGAGGCCACTAAAATATATCATTTACATAGTCAAAACCAGAATGAGGATAAATGAAAGCACCGTAGCACTGGAATGAAGTACTGGAATAATTTAAAAATAGGAGAAAAAAAAAAGCAAGAGAGCACAAGAATTTTCTTAGTTAATACTGTAGCAAAAGATGGACATGGGCCTTAGAGAGCTGAACACTGAAAGGGAATCCCCTTGTAGCAACTCCAAGAAAAAGCTGGCATCAAAAGTAGTATTTAAAAAAAAGAAAGGGGGGGGGGGTTGGGAAAGTTCCAAACCTATGTTAGAAAAAACTAAGCTGGCATGGGATATAGTAGTTAAAAAATATATGAATTTATTTTATTTAATTGATCATATAGCGCATGTAGCCGAGTCCACTTGATTGGGACATAGGGTTTAGTTTGGTTTGATTTGGTTATTCCAAACCAGCCCTAAAAAAAGATATATAGTTTGTAGTGATGGAGGAATGTAGATGAGGCAATAGTTCCCTCAAGAAGTTCCATTCAAGAAGTGTAAAGATACCTTGGGCAATTATAAGGATTATAGAGGATGGACTCGGGGAGTTCACGCTGTATGAAATATTGATTTGAGATCCCATATTTAACATATATATCCATTCCTGTATCACAAAAAGAAAATAATTTACTCAACCATCATTACCTTGAATATCTATGTCGTAGGATAAACTGAAACTACTTGCCTTTTGAAAACCAGATGGGAGAGAGGTGTTGTGAGTTTGAGACCAAGTAAGTTCAACATCAGCCTGTGGCTCTTTGTAAAATCCATATAGAATAGGCCCATTCTTTGCCTCATCTAATTGCTCCACCTGGTATTTAACGAACCCAAGTCAGGACCCAACCCCCAAAAAAATCTATGAAGACTAAAGGCATGATTGATGTCAGTTTACCGTTATAGATTCCACAAATAGGGTATTAGGTGTTATTAGAAGTGAGGAATTAGGGCCAAGTTGTAGATTCACAGAGCCATATACCCCCAAAATCAAAGTCATTGAAACTGAAACGAGAAAGACAATAACACCAAATTTAATCAAATCCATCATATTCTCAAGCAAAACAACATGAGCATCTCCAATCCTACTCTCTTTCTTTATCAAATTTGACTGAAAATTTGGTTCAGAGTTTGATTTCGATACGGAACACTCCAATTCTTACTCCCTTTTTCCATCAATTTTTTTTGAAAAATTCTGAACTTATCCTAAAAATCAGTTTTAACTATTTTCGATAAAAGAAAACCATCTCTAGCCATTACTCATTTTAAAATTTCATCAAATTTGAGTAACAATATGACTGCTGAAAATTTGGTGAAGTATTTTGTTCGTCCTTGATTTGGTGAAAAAATTTGTCTCTCCCTTGATTTGATACAAATTTGATAAAATGGTTAGAGCATCTCTAATTCTTCACCAATTCTTTCATAAAATTCAAACTTGATGAATAAATAGCTAAAAATGAGCTCCAATCATTTCATCAAACTTGTATAAAATCAAGGAAGACCCAAAATTTTCACCAAATCAAGAATAAACCAAACATTCACCAAATTTTAAACAGTCTTTTTTTAACTCAAATTCGACGAAAATTAAAAATAAATAAATAAAAAAGAGAGTAAGGATTGGAGATGCTCAGCATTCAAAAAACTATTTACACACGTGTATCTATATATCATGGAAAATGTATGAAAAACGAGAGGACGAACCAAAGAACCAAAAGGTGAAGACAACGATCATGCAAGACCAAGCGTCTTCTCTGAGCAATGGCGATATCTCCCTAGCTTCTTCCGTTGGGTAATGCACATGATAAGAAACGCCATTCTGTTGCCGAGTTCGATCGTGGTGCTCCGCTTCTTCCGCCGCCGCCTCCCTCACCGGAAAAGCCGAAGACGACGTCGCTGCATCACCGGAAAATTCCCTAACGGTTGAAGACGACGACGAAGAGGCTTGCGCAGACGAAGGCCGATCCTGTTCCTCCATGAAAATCTAGAGAGAGAGAAGTGAGAATTTAATTGAGAAAAAGCGTAACCCTAACCCTAGATGTGTGATGTGATGGAATGTATATACCTTTGAAATTGGGATGGCGAAGAATCCATGGAATAAGGAAAAATGGAGAAGCGAAGAGCAACTGAAAAATGTTTCACCAATCAGTCGCTTCGATGTGCGTGGGACTGGTAGTTGTGAGTGAGAGCCAGCCAGAGTGACGGTTAGATGAATTTGAAATACTCTACCGACACAGACTAGAAAAGTCGTGGACGATTGACCAATAGCAGCTGTTTTTTTTGTTTTTGTTTTTTAGATTGACCAAATAGTAGCTGTTAAAGCAACCAATCAAATTATGCAACTTGAGTTCGTTAAAATTCGTTTAAACAAATTAAGGCCTGGTACTAGTCGAGTAGGATTGGCATGTAATACTGAATTTTTATGTGTAGTCTTATGCTTAATTCTAGAATTTACAATTGAAGTGTAGCATTTGAGGTTGCATTTGCTTTACTCGAGGTTAAAAGTTAATTTTTATTTTTTTATTTAAAAAAAAATAAAAAATAGAGAGGTGATTTAATTAAAAAAAAAAAATCAATAAGTTGGCTTTGAACTTACATCTCAAAAGAGGCCTAAGGGATTGTTTGTCAAGATGAATATAAGCGCATTTATTTGGAGTTAATTTCAGCAATAATTAATTAAAACAATAAAATAAATAAAGTAAACAACAAAATTAAACCTTATAATACCTCTACTGGTGGTTTATGAACAAACTTGTGATTGCTCCTAGTGTTTGAACACTGTGTCTTTAAGACAGAATTTTATCCTCTCCAACGGTACTTGAGAACAGTGGACGTCCTGTGTAGTTTGCTTTTCGTGCTCCTTTCAGATACGACTAGCCCTACAGTTCGGATTCCCGTGGTTCTGAATCTGATTTCACAAGTGTAATGTAAAATAGATAAACACAAATGAGTCCAAATCTAGTAAATCTTTTGAAAAATTGATGTTCGAATCAAATGTAAAAAATGGACTGTTTTGCCATATTACAGAGTCACTACCTAAATATTTTTGAAAAATTTAAAAAACTCGAGACTCGTGCCAAAAGCTACTTATCCGTCATCACCAAAGTGTCTCTGCTTAAGAACTTAGATACAAGAGGAAAATGTCATGAATTGAGCACCCCAATCGCCCGATCAAATATCGGTCTCTACTAATCATGATGTGATTTTCATTTACATTATATGCTCTTGTTTCGGTTATTAGCTAACATTACTCAGTGATGGACACAAGTATAGACTAATTTGCAAAAGTTGGAACGCTTTAGTTTCATGTTTGTTTGGAAATTATTTTGAATATGTGTCACTTAAAAAAGTGAGTTTGTATATACATTAATCACTTTATCCCAATTTTGACAATTAGTCTTCATCCACTAGCATTCAAAGAATTATATTACTTAAGCAATTAGCCTCATGGTATTATGCTTGGCATGACAACAATCACACTTACGCGGTATGCTAAAACAGTAAGTGATCACCTAGAACTCCAAGGCAAGCCAAGCAAAGCAAAATAATTAGAAAACATGCATGTTCTTAAACAATGCAATGTGACTAATGCAACGCAAACATTATGCAATTTTTAATAGGCTCGGCTATGAGCTTGGTATATGATTCAATTCAAAACATGTGATAAATCATGTATTCAAGCAATGGAGTTGAAATTAACATTAGTTAGTATAATGAGCCGAGCCCAAATGTACATGAAACAAGTGTATGCGAGCTTGGGAATGCTAAGTAAATATGACGCTCTATGCTACCATCATAAGTGGGTAAATAAAAGGAAAAAACAAATATGGATTAGAAGATATACACCATTATTACATATTTTGCCCTCATGTGAGAGGGTTTGAATGTCCAAGTGTCCAGATTAAACTAACTATTACAAATTCAAATAAATAAATTAAACAAGCTAATTGACTTCTATAGGAGGGCGGTAGCCTGTGTATTTGGTTAATGTTTCTGGGTAGAGGGACTTGGTCATGTGTAGGAAGTGCGTTAGTAGTTACGTTTGGTTTGGAGGGTGGGGCGATGACTTTGTTGTCAATGAGATCCTAAATCTCATGACGTAGGTGATAGCACAAGTCTGTGGGATGACCATGTTGTTGGTAGAAGATGCAATATTGAGTAGGATCATATCTAGGTGGTAATGGGTCAAGAAGTGGTCGAAGAGCAAGAGGCTTAAGATGCCCCTTTTCCATTAATAATTTGAGGGCGCAGGCTGGACTCATATGGAGAGGGGTAAAAGTCCTTCGGTTTCAGGGTGGACCGGTGGTTTGGGAAGGTTGCGGGGTCGCAGCGGCAAAGGGATTGGCCATTTTGGTCGTTATAACAACTATACTAACATCTGTAGGCCGCAGAATAGTGCTACTACTAACATTGGTACTCTGTGAGAATGGCCTTCTTGCAAGTTCGGGGAAAACATTTCCTGAGGATCTGGGATTTGGAAATTTTCCACTGGTGGAGGTGGATCTAGGTTCAGCCGAGCAGTCGGGATTGGATGTACAGTTGACGTGGATGCCTCAAATGTACGTTGTAGATCTGCGATGATTTCATCATGTGCGGCCATCCTTTGGTTCACAATATCCATGGTTCTCTGGAAAGTTGCCATCATGGCAGCAAATTCTTCTGCATTCTTTGCCATTACTGGGCTAGGTGAGTTAGATACTGATGCACTGTTTGAGTGAGAACGTATAGGTATTTGCTGAATGCTTTGTACTTGTGCTGCTAACTGTCTATTCCGTCTTCGTCAAACCACTGCAGAAGTGAGACTAACATTGGTTAACCACCAACAAGGTCTTGAGCTTTGCAAAGCTTGCCAGAGCGAGTCCACACAACTTGGGGAATATCGGGTCTTTCTAAAGCTATGATGGTAAACTACCTAGCAAAAGACAGAAAAGTAAAACCATTGATCAAAATCAAACGGCACTTCGGCCCAATTCACAATAGATAAAAACACAATTGAAGAACCACACTCCCTACTGAACTCCGTTCTCAAATTAATACTGATATGAATGTGACGACCCCACCACGTATAATGATTAGTACTTAATTAATTAAGGAGATTTGAAATTTAATTGCCAATTATTCTAATTAATCTAGGATTTACAAAAATTATGGAGATTGATTTATATATGGTTTTATTGAGGATTAATTTTGGAATTAGAAATTGAAAGCCTAAATGGCTCAAGAAAGTACGAATGGTGAATTGAATTATTTAATTTCGAGTATCGGACCGGATGAGAGTTTAATTAAATATTCGATTCGGATTTAATAAAATTGAGATTTGAGTAATTGGGTCCGAATCGGAGTTAATTAAGTTATACGAATTAGGAATTAAGATTTCTGTGAATTAAATTTATTTATGCTGTGTTCCGTTGAATATGTAACTTATTGACGAAGATTTTGAAGTTTAAGCTGAAATTGAAGGCCTAAATGACTTAAGAAAACAAAATTAAGGATGAGAATGAGTTCAATTTGATATTTGGAGCCTTTCTGGGAGTTTAATTAAATTTTGATTCGGATTGATAAATTTAAATATAATTAATTGGGCTCTAATAGAAGTCAATTAGATTAATTAAATTATGTAGGATTTGTGTTTGAGCTAATCAAGATTAATTAAGATTAAATAATGTTCAATTAAACCAAAATGTAAATGGCATATTAATTTATTTTTAATATAATTATATTACAAGGAATGTTGGTGTATTAAAAGTCCAAGGCAACAAAGATAGATTCATGTATCGCCAAGTTATGTGT